CAGTGACTTTCAGCTGTGATTTTCAACTTAATTAATTAAAAGCAAATTAAAAGTTTTAATCTCTGCGCTACAAATTGTTGCTGCAGAAAGGGCTTCTCTGCCAGCCCAAAAAAGTGCCTACAACATTATTTCGAGTGGGAAGTTGAAGAAGCCTCCACTGATGAGCAAAAATAATAAACTGTTGCCGAGTTGCTCTTGTTGTTCTCGGAATCTGAAAACAATCAGGGGGAGTGGAGTACGCCTCCGCCAGCAACAAAAGAGCTAGCCCGAAATAAAAGGGTTCATTTTGGGGTCGGAGATGCTTCGTTTTGGCGTGGGCTTGAGTAGACATTTGGTTTCATAAGCCAGTGTAAGCAGATTTTATCTTAATTCAACGTAAAATTAACAAATTTTCAAGCCAAACAACGGCTGGCAAAGCAAGCAAAGTCAATTTGCTTAAACGATTGGTTCAGCATTTCCTCCCTCGTCGGAAGATCCATGCCATCTTTTGATGTTCCAGCAAAACGGCACAGGCCATAATAACTGTTTATTTGCTAGTTTTGAATCCAGAATTTATTGCTCGAAGCTCCTTGATTTGATCAATGGCCTCGAATCAAAGCCAAATGGTATGCACGTAGCTTCGGTATTATGGCACAGACATCGCCATTGCCATCGCCATCACCTTCTGCCACTGCATCTAAGCCATCCTGCTGCTGCTAAACGTCACCGGCTGAATTTATGATGCAATGTCGCCTCCGAGAGCTGCATTCATCACGTTCCCGTCAGCTGCATGTCCAAGCCGTCGGATGGTTGTCATAAAAGATGCTCATCACCAGTTTTCGGGGGCCTTCTTTCCCCGAAGAAGATGCCATAACGCGTTTGTGCCCGAACTTCGTTCGCATCCTTGCGGGCATCATGCCTTAGAACCACGACTAAGCCATGAATATATATTGTATTCTTGGCGAAAATCTGTTTCTTTCGCTAATTGCATGGGCCATAAATCTATAGGCTGTCTCGATTTGAGGGCGTGGTCGGCAGTATCTTGTTTTGCATTTGCGAAATGAAAACACAATGCCGGCCAAGTAAGCCGCCTGGCCTGCCAAGTGCACGTCGATTTCGGCAACGGGCGCCGAAGTCGTGCACCGAGAGAAAAACGGCCCATTTATGTGTGAGATATACCCATGACAACTCTAATCCTATCCTAGACAACTCTTACACAGAAAACAGTCATCTTTCAGTAGGAAATGTTGCTTCTAATTAAAATTTAAAAGCGATGTATCATTAAAGCACACTATTTTGCTTAGTCCAGTGACTTTTTGAACTAATTGAGAAACCCTTCTATTGTTCTTCTCCCCGTGTATTTAGTTGCAACATTTTATTGTGGAGCTTTTGGCAGGGCCTGTCCTGGCTCTTGTCCGATGTTGCCGCTGCTGCAGAAGCACTCGTAAATGTCATGCCGTGCATTTGCATTTCAATTTCCATTACAATTTGGAATGCCAGACCTCCGCCCAATGGCAGTGCCACCCACCCACCCACTCACCCACTGCCGTTTGCTGTTTGGCCGCGATTAGCGCGCTATAAATCCAAAAATGTTGCTGTATTTTAACAATGTTTTTGCGTTCGGAATGCCAGCCAGTCAGCTGGCTGTTCAGCCAATGGCCACTGTGTTTGCTGCCGACGTTTTGTGTTGTTAAATGCATGCAGCGACCATAAACCAAATCATTCGGCGCTGCCACGCCCCCAAAAGTGGCGGAGGCTGTGAAACATTGTCCTGGCATTTTGGAGCTCCACTCGAAGGGAGCGATAGATCGTGCTTCAAAATATGCAACTCATTTTGCTGATGTTTCTGGCAAGCGGGTTGGCATTGCTGTATCCCAGTATTCCAGCATCCTATTTGCATTATTTGTGGCCCGATACGCATTTAATTAAAATGGGGCATTTGCATTAGTATTGGCTTAGCCGCATAGCGCCTGGGATTAGAATCAGCCATATAGTGCCGCCATTCTAATCGGAAACACATTTCGGCAGGGTTTAAAAACCTTACACAGTGAACTGGCAGTGATGAATGGTCTTTCAATGCCACAAATTATTTTAAATGTAATCGTATGAAGTTGCTATACTGCCAAACAAGATGCAAATATTTTCCAGATCAAAACTACTATATTAACTATAGTTATAGTTAACACAGATAACTTAGATGACGATACGAAAGCGATGAAAGCGTTTCTGCATCAAAGCGTTGCAATCACTTAATAAGTGGCATTACCTTTCATAACTTTTGCCTTTCTTCGGCGAATTGCTATTTCCACCATGTAGTCGAGTGTAATTATAGTTGATTTACTCAGCAGAATAAGCCACATGCTTACTTAGTAGCTGTGTCAGCAGTATTGAAGACGATTGAAGAGGTCTGGAGCGTCTTGAGACCCGAGTTTTCCCCCGGCACGTACCCATACGTATGTGTAATGGCTGGGCGTTTTGCCTACTCATTTTGCGTTACGCATACGCCGTGTGTGCGCGCGGAGCTCCTTGGCAATATGGTTACGTGTAAAACTTTAAACAGCACGATGACTGCACAATTATGGCGCAAGGGGTTGAGACGGCGGTGTGCTAGTGGAGGGAGCTCTTAGGTTGGTGGTGCAAAGTTGAAATTGTGGTTGGGTCTTGGCTGCAGCCAATGGCTTGTAAATAATACGAGCTGGGTCGCGATGGCTTTGCCATTCTGTGGCCTTTGCATCGTGCCACGGCTTGTGGCGCTGTCGTTCCTGTTGCTGTTGCTGCTGTTGCTGTTGTTGCAACTAATTAAGACAAACTAACGGTGTGCTGGGGCTGGGCGACCGGTGTCCTTGAGCGGCAGCTTTGCTCAAGGACGAGCGCCAGGGGATGCGTGCCCACCACCATACGTGTTTTGATATATGTGCTTTTGTTACAATCACAATGTGCTTACACGGCGTGTGGGGAGAGTGTGTGAGCCAGCCGGGTGCCAAGTGCACTTAATTTGTTTGCTTAATTTACAAAACATGAGACGCTGTTCCTGTTCCCAGGACCCTGATCCCTGGCTCCTGGACCTCCCTCCTGTGTGTGTGTGTGTGTGTGGGTTTAGCACTCCCCGGCGGTGTCATCAGCGGTATCAGCTTCAGTGGGTAACTGGTGTTGCATGTAAGTGCAGCTGTTGTCGGCGAACGCGAGAAACAAGGACCAACTTCGTCATGGGCATCCTTGAACGGTCCCTCTCTGCGAATGTGTGTGTGTGTGTGTCCTAATAAGGGGATCACTGCCTTAATTATGCGCACCTAGAGTGCTAGACGACACAAACAGTGTTCAAACCTTAAACCCTTAAATGGCAATAAAACGCCCTTTGTACATTTTGTATTATTTATTTATTTCGTCATATAATTCTTGCCTTTATCGCATTTAATTTTGAGCTAAATTCCACGCCCACATAGGCGTGCATTTTGTTGGTTTTTGTGTGGTTTGATTTCGTTTGACCTTTATGCCGTTGCTTAACTCGCATTAAATTATTCATAATTATGCATATTTAATATATAATTTCATCCCGTTGACTCGTTTGCTCGACTTTCATGGGCTTGTGTTATTTTCTCGTTTTCCTGTATTTAAGTTTGATTTTACATTTTATTATTAGTTTGCCTTTCAGTTTAGTTAAGTTTAGTTTGGGTTTCAGTTTTTTCCACCTGCCACAAATCGCTAAAATAATACCGTTTACCCTTCTCTTCTCATTTGATTTACATTATTTTGCTTTTTGGGCTTACTCTGTAATTGGAAGTGCTTCCAAAATTTTCGTTTCTTAGCTGAGAAATACGATTATGCTGAACACGATTCATAATCAAACGCAACCTGAATTTTTTGTGAGTTTGCGCTGCGCATCAACATCTAAAAATAGTCCTTTGGCCAAGGAGTTTGGATTTACTTTCAGTGCGTTCCGCAGAATGCACTCTTAACATCTTTCAACTAACATACACCCATATTACTCATATTACCTCTCCACGGCAATCATTACTCGATAAATATATACGTTGCATTTAGTTATGTAAATTTAGTCTAAAACAAAGTCCATCTTATGCTGGTAACACAAACCGTTCGACGGAAACAAAATTGCAACAGAAAGTGGACAAAATGATACCGCAAATAAGCCACAATTGAAATGAAAACAAATCCAATTAAACTGAATTTGGCCAATATCCAATTTGACTCTTCCGATTTCATTGATTTTCATATGGACTTAATTAGTTTTGTATTTAACTTTTTCTTCACACATTTTGCTCTAGCTTTAATTAATGTTTGCCCATGTGAGGGTTTCGTATTTATTAATTTATTATTTACTGTTTTTTCTTTAGTTCTTTACAGTAATTATTTACATAACTTATGTGCCTAGGCTGCGGTAGTTGGAGGGTAGGGTGTACTTAGTAGTTAAATGTGTGTCACTTATGCTTATTAATTGTTGTTTTCTTTCGTTATGTAACTTGTTTGCAAAGTGTTGTTTGCAAGTGCATGTGTTAATTTATTTAAATTTATGGATTCGTTTCTTTTTTCTATGCTCTGTGTTGTCTGCAGGCAGCTCTGAGTTTTTTTTTCGAAGAGTTAAACACCACGCTTTCATCCACAACATGCAATTACGTGTGTTACGTATTAAATTTACGCTATGTATTTACTTTTACTATTATTATTTTAACCTTCTTTTCGATCTATGCCCGAGCTTGTGTGGAAATTCAGCCCCGGCTGACTTATGTTTAATGTATTGTTATTATCAGAATTTTGTATGTAGCCATCGCAAATTAATGAATGCATTGAAAATATTCCTTCGCTTTGAACTTATGGACTGCGACCCAGTTTCTTTTTTGTTTGTTTGGCGAATGAGGCAAATAAAAAAAAGTATAAAATACAAGGACATGCTACTAGGCGTTGACAATCCAGGGTCGCTGTCGCCAACACTTTCCCCCCACTCCCAATCCCATTATATTTTTTTTTGGTTTTGTTTTTCCTTTTGATTTTTGCATATCCTTTTGCTGTTTTTTTCTGCCATCAAGCACTCGTTCTGTTTTGTTATTTTTTAATTACACAGCTCGCGCTGTTGTTTCATCCTTGGAGGTGACTTGTCCGGCTGCATTTGCATGGCGTTTTCCATGGCGGATTTAAGCGGCCCGCTGCGGTCACAGATGCGCCATGGCCAGTGTGAAAATCGCCAGCGAAATCGCGCCAAAGGCTCCGCAGCAAATGCAGCAGCGCTGCGAGGCGCCTGTGAGCGCCGAGTTGTCAGGATCTCCGTTGGCATACCGCTTGGAACCCTCCAGTCCCAGCAGATTCGGCGATATGGTCGTCGGCGGCGCCGCATTCAGACCGATCCTCTGCGCCACGACCTTGTGGTACATGTGCCGGATGGTCACCACGCACTGCAGGTTCACGCTGTGCTGGTACTTCGTCTCGAAGAAGCCCTGCAGCGCCTGGCTGTTCGCGTAGATTTCCAGCGAGGAGTACGTGGTGGAGCCCTCGTGGGTGTTCTGCGAGATGCGCTGCAGCGGCGTCCTGCGGACCTGCAAGGGATGAATGGGGAATAAGTCAGTACGCCTGATATGTGGAGTTTCACTTTTTAAGTTCTTCTGTGGCTACTGATTCTTAATATCACAATAATTTAAAGCAAATGGAAGTGCCTTAAGTTTTGCGGGGCACGTGTGAATGTTTAACTTCTTGTTTCTGAGCTTTTCGAATGTGCTCCAATGTCCTGCAACTCACCTCGAACCCGTTGATGATCCAGGAGATGTTGGCCGGCGGATACGAAGGACCCACTGTGCACACAGCCTTCAAGTTGTCGTTCACGCCAATCACCTTCTTGTCCACCTGAATCACCGGATCGTCTTTGGGCAGCTCAATCACCTGCATGTGGGCCGATCGAATCTCGGTGTGGAAGAGCGGTGCGTCCTCGGAAACCTCGCACTGATAGCTGCCGCTCAACTCCCGGGTGACACCCTTCAACGTCACCGACGTGGCATCCGAATTGGCGAGCTGAAAGTGGGCAAATGGAATAGGGATTTAAAGCACCATTGGAGGGATTTTAGCATTTCACCGCACAGTAATGCAAGCAGAAAGTATTAAACACTTTTCGAAATGCTAGACTGGGTTTGATTGATTTCGGATCCTGCAGTAATGTCTCTTTTCCCAGTGATTTTCCCAATGAAAATGCGTCTCTGTCACCGCCCATATCCAAAACGAATTAAACTCCATCTTTGAGCAGATTTCCCTTTCCGATCACCATCCCCAAAAAACCCACATCAGATGGCATGAAAAGCGCAGGCAACGCATTTGTTGGTAATCAGCAGAGCATGAGTAAGTACCAGAAGCGAAATTCCAATGGGTTTGGGCATGCCGAACCCTGTGAGCTAGCTGGCTGAGTGAAACCACCCTTGAGGGATCCATTGACAGGGTATTCCAGCTTCGAGACCACTTGGTTTTTGAATCGCACTCGTTGTCGCAGTTTAGCATATTCTGTTAATTGCCAGCAAGCGCTTGCCACTTGGCAAACAGTTGTGCAATATCCTACTCAAAATCCACTTCAGCAGCGAACCACTCGCGATTACCTACCAGTCTGTATGTGTGTGCGAGCGTGTCTGTGTGTGGGTGTGTGTTACTGGTGTGGAAGCGTGTGTGTGTGCGTGTGTGTGAGGGAGGTCCTTTTATCGCAGTCCTGGCCTTTTGTATTTAAGTTCAGCCAGCGACGAGCACAACCCATTCGCATTCGAGTTTTGCATATGCCACCAAAGCCAGAGCGCGAACGTTGCCATCGCTTTGTTCATTTGCATCTGTACTAATCCCGGCATGGCTGCCGTTGTTGGTCGGTCGGTGTGTCCTATTGCTATTGGCATATACTCGTAGCAGCATAGAGGAGCATCCACCCACAACACACCATTCCCCATCCTTTATCCTTTCTAGTGCCCCCGCGGCAAACAACAGCTTTTTACGATTGTTTCAACACTTTGGCGCATTGCTCGGCTTGGCCTGGCTTTTCCTATTTAGTTTGTTGTTTTCTTTCCAGCTAGTTGTGCCAGTTCATTCGCAGATAACGCCGTCGATAAGGGCCGCCAGGCACCTACAACCTTCTGGTATTTACCCCGTTACCCTCCCCCCATTACGGCCACCCCTTCTCGGAATCCCTGTGCTCTGTGGCGGTTGCCAATTGGCATATTGGCCATGGAATGGCTGCTTCGTGGCCCCTGGCGAGCTGTGGTTTTAGTGGCTTTCGGATTTGTCGACGCTGATCTCGTTACGCAATCGTAAAATGAAAACAAATGCGAATCGTATTGATAAGGTTCTCTATATGCAAAGGGGGGTGTGAATAATGGATCCATGAATAATGTCTACTGGGCCAGAGATGCACTATGATTTCGCATCGGTCTCCATGACTTATGGGTGCTAGGGACTTATGAAGTAGCGCTTGCTGCTGCCGTCTAGATATGTGTTGATTAAAAAGAACCGGACATTTTTTAACTAAACAATAGGAAACAAATGTAAAAACTTTCTTTCAAGATCTTATATGTAGGGATTTTATCTATGTATTATAAGTACACATTGCAGTGTACCAACGTGAAATGTACACAATGTTGTGAGTGCAAATAATTGTTTTTAATGTTGAAGTATCTCATTTGAATAATATTTTCAATTTAGCTGTGCACACAAACACACGTTGAGTGGCTGCTTTTTACTAGGCCTGAGGCGATTTCGACCCCGTCTAATTAAATGACACTAATTATGTAATCAAACATATACGGAAAAGTTGTTCCTGACCCGCTTTGTTTATTCAACTGCTTTGTGCGGTGGGGATTTTTCTTGTTGTTTTGCGGCGGACTGCTACGTCTGTCATATTTATTTAATTGCATGTGACTTTATTTGTTGGTACTCTCGGTGGCTCTTTGCGGCGGAAGCGGAAGTGGCAGCGCCAGGAAGCGCGCCAAACAAACGCAAATGTCTGCCATTTTGAGGAATGACACACACACACACACACACACCGCTCATCCTTTTAGTTTGCTCGCATGAAACTGTGGCCATTTCGTAACTGCTCCTCCGGGCAGTAAAAACAAGAACAGAAAAAAGGAGCAGAAAAAATGTGAGGCTGGGAAAATTCAACTCAAGTTGCGTTTGTCGTGAAAAGTTTTTTTTTTTTGTACGAACTCGGCCCACACCGTTTCCCCCTTTTTATTTATTTGTTGGCTTTTAATTTCTATTTATATTTTATATTGCTTTAGCAGCCGCAGCTGCAACTTTCTGGCATGAGAAAAAGAGAAGAAAGAAATGAAATGACGCCACTAAAGCGTAATTTTGCATGCCAAACACACACAGGAGTTTTCCCAGCCAAACGACCAGGCAGCCAGCACACACGCACACCCCTTCAAGCCATGTGTGAGAGTAAAGTATTGTTTCAATAATTCTGGCTTTATGAAATAATAACTTTACGGCAAAAAAGCTCTCGGCCCGGCTGAGCTGAGCTGCCAGAGTCGCCGAGTTGTAAGAATACAATGAATTTCATTGCAGTGCCCTGCCTGACTCACTTCTCTCCACTCTCCACTCTCTACTATCCCATTCCATTTTTCCCAGCACTTTCCCACAGCCATTTTCCGTTTTCTTCCTCCTGCGACTGCTGGCTCCTCGCTGAGTTTCCGCTGTTTGTTGTGCAGCAATTTTAATTTTGCCAACGCTGTCGCATGCGGCACACTAACACACGCGCACGCGACGATGCGGAGTATCTGTGTGAGCCAGAGCTCAGCTGCAGCATCCTCGTTTGCATGCAACACTTTATGAATTATTGCTGTATCAACTCAAGTCGCGGCCACACAACCACACTCACTCACACACACACACTCCACTACTCCTATTCCCCGCCACACACACACACATCCACAGAAACACACACTCCCATGTGCACGTATTATGTCATGCCGAATTTCCGTTGCCTGGAGCATTGTTGTAACTAACGGCTCCTCTTTCTCCAACCAATTTTCCCCCGGCCATGCCACCCACTTCTGCGAATTTTCCAGTTGCCGTTGGCATTTCACAACTTCGACTGCCTAACGCTGGGCAAAAACCGACCACAAATTTAGTGAATGAGATGTTTCCGGTGCGGTTGTTATTCTTCTTCTGCTGCCAGAGCAGTTGCTATGAACAATTTTTGGTGTTTGGAAAATGCATGGCTTTTTATTGTGCTCATTGTTGGCCCAGGCAGACAACAGCACGCCCAAGTGAATGCCCCGCCCCCACTAAAGCACCCAAAACCCCCCAAACCTCTACCCTCTAACCAATGCCATTTGGCGGCCTTTGGATGGAAGGACTGCAGGACGGACGCAGCTAGTTACACTCTGCGATTCCGGAGAGCTTGGTGTGCACACTTCACGAATGCATTTCGCATTTTTATTTATTATGTTTATTTGTTGCCATTTGTCACAGAGCCATTTCTAGCCAAGGCCGCCGCGATGGCGTAAACAACAACAGCGGAAAAATGGCTAGGGGAAAATGGCTTGCGGAAAATGCCTGCATGTGACTAGCCTGAAGTGGCTAATGGAAATTGAAGTGAGTCCTCAGAAAGGGAGATCTCATAAGGTACAAGGATTAGAGAAGAATATGGTTGAAAAAAGGATAAAAACTAAGTGATAGTTGCTCACGCTCGTACACTCCTAATATTATTTTGAAAATATATGGGAAAACTTGTTTAAACATATTTTTGAAAAAACTGAAACTTTAAGAAACACAACTTAGGACTTTGCAAGCAGTTTTACAACAAAAACACTATCGTGTTTTTCAAATTTACCCCCTAAGACCTTAAAAACTTGCCTGAATCAGCCAAAGAAAATTAGCCCTTGCCCTTTGCACACTTAATACTTCGCCTCCTCCTCCTCCTGTCTAGTGCATCTAATTAACAACTGCCTAGAGAAGCCCAAAAAAAGAGGGAAACCCTTGGGAGTACATTCAAATCGTAGACCATAGACCACGACCAACTTTTTTGGTCACTTCTGTCGCCAGTTATCCCTTTTCGGCCGCCGCTGAAATTTCCCAGAGGCAAGTGCATTAATTTTAAGCGCACATTGCTGTGCATAAATGCGAGGCGTGTCGGGTTATTAACAATGTTAAAAGCAAACGCTCCAGCAGCCAGGACACTCAGGCAAAAGCCAAAAGGACACTGCTTTCGAGTGTGTGTGTGTGTGTGTGTGTTGGAGTACGACTGACGCTGCCATTACCGCAAACTTAATGCGGAATAATTCCTTCCGTGTTGACAGTGTGCAAAAAGTTTTTGGGGCGCAAATTTCTGGGATCTCCGCGGCTGGAAAAGCGGGTGAATGCCGAGGAAAAGTGTGTCCACAAGCCAATGGCAGAGGAAGAGGGACAGCAAGATAGAAGGGAACAGGGACAGAGGCTTGCTGGCGATTTTATTGTTGTGGCGGACAATGAATAAGCCGCAAAACTTTAGAGCACTTGGCATATCCTATTCCTGTCCCGCCCCGTTCAGGACTGCTCCTCCCGCTCTTCGGATGACCCTCAACCCGCTGAGAGAGCGGCCTGGTAATTGTGTTTTTAATTGAAGATTGCCAGCGAAGCGAGCGGTGTCTCTAAATTAAAAATTTAATTACATTTAACATGATGGCTTTCCTGTTTATTTCCCCCCTTTTTTCATTTCTATATATTTTACTTTTTTTGCTGTTGTCCCCGTTGACATGTGTAAAGCACAGCACCGAGAAAAATATAAATGAAATATTAAGGAACATATTTATTGAAAGTGCCCTGAAAACAATTTTAAATATTAATATAAACACATAGCCAAGTTCGTGGTGTCCTAAATCAGAAACCAATTATCGAACTTCAAAGCCCCACCATAATTTCTCGCAGTGTGATGCATGGGAGCGGTAGGCGTGGCAGTTGCTTTGCCTTGCTGAATGACTTTTGAAGTTTTGACGACGCGACTTGGCGTTGACTTCCTGCCCACCGCCTTAATATGCATACATTTACATTCCAATAACGCTCAAGTGGACGACACGAGTGCACTTTGGTCGGCCACGCCCCCATCTCCTGCAGCGCCCAGTGCGCCCACAAGTGCCTTTGGATGTCAGCGGCAGCATCATCAGCAGCTGCAGCTGCAGCTGCCTTTCGAGTGCTCGATGCTTTATGCGCCACGCCCACACCACACCTACGACACGCCCCCTCCTTCACATTCACATGCTCGCACACACATGTATGCATATGCATAATGGCCGCCAACTTGGCACGAGCGTAACTTTTCTCATTAAGCGTGTTTAGCTGTTTGAAATGATTTAGCAAAAGTAAAACAAGTCAAGTTATAATGTTTTAATCTCAATTAAGGCACTTGCCACAATTTCGTAGCTGGCTCACTATCACCATCCAGCATCCACTAGCCATTCCCCTCTTCATTTGGCCCAGTTGCCTTGGCATAACTTAAAAATTCCATTTCCATTTGTGGTGTGGCCTTTGACGTTTGCCTTCGTTAGTGCCGGCAACTATCAATTTAAGTTGGAAAACACAGCTGCCGGCGCCTCATTTCGATTTGTTGCTGCTGCCTTGGGGTGTAGGGTATTTTTTCACATTCACCATCCCCCCCTTTTTTTTTTTTGTTTTTTTTTTTAAGTTTAGTTTTTGCACTTTTGCACTTTTCAAAAGCCACCTTTTAACATGGCATCATCATCATCAACAGCGGGGCCAGTGGGGTGGGGTCTAAAAACTATGGCCAACCTTCAAACTTAATTGCACAGCGAGCACGATGGCTAAATCATTTGCATTATGCAATCGACCACAGGATCCCCAGCTTCACTCCACTCCACTCGGATTTCCCATCTTTTCTTACGCTTTTCACCTTTAGCGGTTAACGGCTGATTGCGTCTCAAGCAGTTTTGCCTGGGAGTGAAGTGAAAATTTGCTCAAATTAAAATGAGTTTGCATCCATCTGGAGCGTGCCCATAAGTAGGCTACGAAAATTTTCGCATTAACCTCAATGCATTGGTTTGTTTGTGAGCGTTCTCGTTTTTATTGAATAGTTTCCAATTCGCTGGCGATGTAAGGCCAAATAAAGATCGGTGGGGGAGATGGAATCGGGAAATAATTAACACGCATAGCTTGACGCCCCGCCCCCACCGCCCACTGCTCACTGCCCACAGCCACGCCCACAGAACGCCAAGGACCCCGAACGCTGCAATCGAAATATTTAATTAGTGCAAAAATGCCTTTGAATGCTAATTAGTGGCAAATTAACATCTGAGCAGGGACTGCTTTATTTTTTGTCTGTATTTTATTGTATTTTATTTCGGTTTTCTTTCACATGGCTCTCGTTTATTCCCCGCTTTTTGTCTCGGCCAATGCATTGGGGAGACTGGGAGTGCAAATTAAAGACACAATCAAAGCAAATTAATCAAGTCCACTCTGATTGATGTGGCCAGCACGCCATTATCGATACAGTTGAGATGGCCAAAAAGACCAATGGCTATTGGGCAGAGCGAGCAGCAGACAGACAGACAGACAGACAGACCGGAAACGGAAGTCGGGGGCAAATTATTTCTATGGAACAGCCTTCGCCATCCCTCGATTGCTTTGTTTCGCTTACACAAAACAAACATTACTCCATCATTGCACCCTCGCTTTATGCCATTATTTATGATTATTTAACGTTCCCCCTTTTGGCGCATTTGAAAAATGTGGCCCGAAGTGTTTGTAAATGAGTTTGCAGTTTTATGTGCGGACGAATGAGTTTTCAATTTATATTTCGCCCATACAAATTTTTCATGGTAAATTCAATTTTATTTATTTATGATTATACGACAATCGATTCGTTTTACACAACCCTCGGAAATCGACGCTCCCATACGGACTGTTTATTTGAAAAACAGATGTTATCGGGTTCTTAAATCAGTTGAATATTATCTTGTGCATTATACAACAGCACGTAAATTGTTAATGCAATTTTTATGATTAAGATTACTGAGCCAGTCTGAGAGATACTATTACTAATTCCTTAGTAGCAGTTACTTTGGAAAATACACGCTTCTGTATAAAGTTTGTATATTTTAAGAGACTTCAAACAGAAACTCCCCTGCTTCGCCCATGAATTTCGCAGGTCTGAAGATGAACGGTGATTTTATAAATAGCGTCAAAGGAATTTCGCCACTTTTCACACTGGACTCTGGTCGAGCAATTTATCGCTTACTTTGCGGCTGTTGTTTTTATTAATGAGTGCAGCATGGAAAAGCGAATGCCGAGCAGTTTTCCCCACTAGGTGGGCCATTCTGTCCGCTCCTTGTTGCTGCAAGTGCAGAAGTTGTTTGTATATTTGTTTGTTTTGTTTGCCAGCAGCCGCGCCATAAACTATTTTGCACTTTTCGCAATATTTCAGCGAGCTGCATGTGTGCGTGTGTGTGTTGTGGCACTTTTCGAATTGCAGAGCGGAATATTTCATACACAGACAACACACACATGCCCACTTGTAAATGCAAAACACCACCGAATATTGTAAATAAAAGTGAACAAATATTGCACAGCAATAGAAATAAAACGGGTGACACCGAAAGAGGGACACACAGGCGGTAAGATGCTAGCGGCAACTGCAACTGCCCCCGGCATTGTCCGCATTTAAATATTTGCACAACATTTGAATGCTTTCCCATTTTGCATTTGTTGAAACGCAAACTCGGCCCGAACGAAACACATGGCCTGCTGCTCCAGTGATTTGTCCATTAAGCCGACAATGGGTGAGCAAAAACCAAAGAAAGAGGCGGGACGGGGCAGAGTGCCGAACTAGCAGATACCGAGTACCGAGGATTTTAAATCCGGTTTTTTCAGAATACAACCATTTTTGGGATTTTAATGGTTAAGTGGAGTGCAGTTGGAGTAAGAAAACTTCTTATAGAAACTTTCCTTATTGTAATCTGGGTTTTTGAAGATTTTCCATTAAGTTAAAAAGAAAAACAGTATTTTCGATACTACTGAAATACCTTAAATTCCAAGGAGTATTATGGGAGTATTATACTTAATAGCGTAAAAGACGAGCAGCTTGAGCTCATTGTGGCATCTTCAGCGTAATTTAACTTACATCAACATTAATGCCTGCGACGGCGAAGACAAATGTGGGCTTGGCCTCGCGGGGAACGTAGCGGTAGAACTCCTCCTGTCCAAAGTACCAGCGTACCGCGTATAGCGCCGCCTGCGGAGGAACGGAAGGAAAATGCGTTAATGAAAAGCCTGAGTGGTGAATAGTGCAGGAGCTGGGGCAGCCGAGCCAGCCGAGGGAGCCGAAGGAGCTGAGCGGAAGGAGCAGCCAGGACAATAGGCGACGGGCGGTAGGAGGCAGAAGAGGCTGCCAGAGCGACGGCGTCGACGGCAAGACAAAGTGCAAGTAATTATAATAATTAAGCATGCCGCCGACGACAATATCCTTCGTATTGTTGACTTGGCTGCTGTTTCTCCGCTCTTTTCCAACTTATACCTGGAGGAAGTGTCGCTTACCTGCTCCAAATCGTATTGACAAGACAATGTCGCTGCATTTCCCATTAATACGGCCTCCGGTACGAATATCTTCAGGTCCTTCAGGCAGTGAGCTGAAAGAGTATGGTGGCATTAATACTGAAGGCAGTCCCAAAAGTCGTTTAACCGTTGGATGACCCCAATGACTTGTCCCACATGTCGTATACGCAACCATACGAATTCGATTATGCAGGTCCAACGGAAAAAGTGGAGACGAACCACAGTCGGCATAAAAAAAGAAATAAATATCGAAAAATAAAACCCAATTACCCAGCCAGGTGGCAAAGGAAAGGGATCAGCCCTGAACTACCGAGAACTCCACTTGCATGTTAATTTATGACAAAGTCGAGTGTACGGCGCAAATTTGACTTGCGTTAAATGCAATTTATTTATTTTATTCCAGTTCGCTTCGATTTTCCACGTCCATTTGAAACGGCTAAATAGCGCAATTCAACGCGACCTGGCGCAATTATGAGCGTTAAACGTGGCTCATTCGAATCAATTGAAAATTTAAATAAATTCCAGTAAAGAGATGTGCCAATATGATTATTCCATAAGCACAAAGCGTTAAATTAATTTACGTGAAGAGCAGAAAGTGTGGTTTATTTGCCATTGAGATATGCAATTAAAGTTAAATAATTTTTTAAAGGTATAATGAGTTTAAATGCTTCTTTAATTGCCCATTATGAAATCGTACGCATTTAAAGATATGACTTTAAACGAATTTCATTCGCATGCTAACTGTTAAAATACGTGAATTTTTTTTTTGTGTTTACTAACTTGTACGAAACTGTGATCATCGCAAGTTATATGCAGTTTTAATGATCTTTATTGATTTTACTTTGCAAGTGGTTCAATTACAAGAGTGCGGTGCAATAATTAATTTTCTGGGTTTTATTCAAGCCCTTATGTTGTTGCAAAGAGAAAGGTCAAACATAACTGCAGTATACACACTTACATAATTAATTCATATATATATACTTTTTATTGTAAAGTAACCAAATGAATAACTGTATCTTTTGTAGTGCTAAATGAGAATAAATTTCGGACTTGAATAAATATTTCGTGACCGCGGGCAACCCAATTTGTTAATCAAACCGAGCACTTGATTAAGTGTCGGTACAGGGCGAACGGAAATATATTGAAATATTTTAATATTCATTCGCTTCTTATCCTGCCTCATAAAAGCCCATGATAAATTTGTAGTTTCGATCTCGAAGGGCAGTGTGCTCAATAAATGACCTGTTCTCGCAACGGTTCACACACATGTCATTCGAAAAGTGTTCATCGATTTGTGGGATCGGCGGATTGGCGACTGAGGCAAGTGGAGTGACAGGCATGTGGTTGGCCAAATTATGGCAACTTTAATTGAACAAACCAATATTAATCAAAGGCCAATGCTCGCCCATTCCCGGGCCATTTAATAAATTGACTACTTCACCGCCGTTCGGCGGAAGAGTTGGTTTTTCGCCTGGTCAATGGCTGGGTAAGTGGGTGGTCCAGTGCATAATATATGTGTATAAACAGTTATTTGGTAGATTAAATAATCAATTTTAACCACGCCCCGCAACACGCAGTTGGCATAATAAATTCAGCTTGTTTAACATGACAGACTGACTGGCTGGAAGTGGAAGGGGATTCGGATTCGGAAACGGAAGGGGATGGGGAAGGGGAAGCCCTGCAATATGCCATTTATATGTGGGTCTTTTGAACACTTACCACTGAGCAATAACTCTGAGATTATAATCCAGCTCAACGCCAGCATACTGAATGCCGTATGCAAGGCTCCCGGTCGGCAGGCGCTGCTCACTCTTCGTCCTTTTCGTCCTTCTTCTGGCCGGCTCTGTATCCTTTGGCTGGCCATGTCTATTTGTTGCCGCTACAATCGCAATATCTGCCGCTGCTCCTGTTGCTGCTGTAAAGAGAGTTGCAGTGCATGAGAAAAAGTTTGAAGCACCATATAATCATATTTGAGATGATGCTTTCAGGCTTATTGATAACTGGCTGGCTACTTGTCAAAGTTTCAGCAGTAGCAGCAAATTGAAATGTTGCTCTTCCATCTAGCCCCATCTTTAGTCTATTTATCCGCTCTCTCAGTGCGCTTTGTTTCTGTCTATATCTCGGTACTCTGTACTACCGAGGTACTATGTCCTAGATGTGTCCCCCGTCTGCCGTTTGACAACTTTCTAAGGCTTTCAATGACACGCGTCCGTAAGTTTCAACAGCTCGACGTGCTTAAAAAGTTTGCAACAAGACAAAAACCTTTAACTAAACAGCACACAACAGGCGATTCCCTGTGTGAGTGAGTGTGCGTGTGAGCCAAATGGCATTAAGCATACGCAGCGTTCGCCCAGACCAGTCCTGAACAAACCAGACCGGCGCAGACAGATGCATCAGAACACCCACTGATTGACAGCTGGGGGCTTTATTCGGCATACAGGAGACTGAGGCGGTGCGTCTCTGACAAGTGAAATAGATTGGATATGTGAACGGTGGACAGTTCTGGAGAGGAGGGTTCTCGAGAACAGGGTGGATACTAGTGACCAAAACATTGAAAACAATTGTCAGTTGCTGGTTGCATTTGTAACTTGGCTGACAGGACAAGACGTCTGCGTCGTGTATCAATTAGACCGCAAAATCAGCAAGACCAATTGTTTGGCTTCCATTTGGCCGCAAAAACAGAAGCTAATGGTCAAAAGTTACAAATGGCCCCCAGGCAAACACTGCACATACAGATACATATACAGAAGCGGAGATACTACGGTAGGGACCAGGCTATTTTGATAATGATATCATCATATCAACGCATTAACCCAAGGCGCTCTAAGCACTTAAGCCTGGGTTGGGGCTTATATGTCATTTACTGCATCGTCTTGAGGTCGAGTGCGCCGAGCGTTTTGCGTCCAATTTTGAATGGCAATCCCTCGAAATAAGCACAGAAAACAAGAACCAGAACCAGAACCAGAGACAAAACCCAGAGTTGGAGCAATAAAATGCCATTAGTCTGGACGGGGGACCTCTGCTCTCCAATCATTTTGTGCTCTTAAGCAGGCGACTCAAAGTTATCGTCGTCGTAGTCCCTCTGCCTCAAAAACAACAATCGCATTAACCTACACAGCCATACACTGGATGAAGGAGCTCGGAGCAAGGACGAAGGACGAAGTGTTGCCTTTGCATTTTGCATGCCCAACGACCTTTCCTTTCGACCATTTCAAGCATATCGTTTTGCAAATTGTCCGGCAGATTGAGACACATCCTCATCGATTTGTTTGCTTGCGGGTTGGTTTTCTGGATCGACTCCGTTAAATGCCCTCATGTGAGCATTTAAATTAAATTTAAATATTATTGTAGGCAAGTCGATTATGTTCGGGTCATCATTTTGAACTTTAATGTTTCGGTGTTATTGTTTGAATGACCGCCTGGCCCGGAGCAGCAGGCCTTCTCTGACTAATAGCCTTTCTGTTTTCGGGGCACTAAGGGAAATTATATTGCGGTTGCCTGTCTGTGGGCCTAATATCCTCTGATGTTCCTCAGCCCCTTTTGTATTACCAACCATTGTCTTTGTGTTCTCTGGCATTAGGAATTCACAAAATTTGTAGTCCGGCTCAAATTTGATAAAAACGAATTTCCAAATATTTCATTATGATTTTAATTGAAATTTCTCCGCATAGTAAATTTCAGGCCCAACCCAAAGGCTTTTGTGCTTCGGAGAGTTAAATAAGATTGAAATATTTGATTTAATGTGTGTGTGCGTGCCCTGAAAAGCCAACCGAGCTCCATAGATCATAATAATAAACAGAGTAAATTAACAAATTATTTTTCGGCGCTCTTCGAGAGGCAACAAAATATTCCCCCTCAGACATGAAAACGTGTGTAATTAAAAAAGTTACGGCTTCAGCTGAATAAAATGTCCAGTGCAGCGTATATGTGTCGGATTAACTTTTTTAAAGTGTCATAAAACAGTTGATTATGGCGTCATTAACGCAAATCTAAGCGCTGGGGAAAATAATCAAATTAATTTTTTATGTACAAAGTTTGCAGTTTGCCAATAGGAGCCGAGCTCATCATAAGCAGCCAGCTCTGAAAAGGACGCTTAACCTAATGGCAAAGTCGGCGGTTGGGGAACGGTTTCGTCGGATTTGGATTCTTGGGGAGCCAACCGCTCGTGACGATGGCTACGATGGCAAGGACAAAGGACAATGCCGGATATTCAAATTCCGAGAAGAAATTCAATTGAAAGTCAAATCAAAACAAAGCAAACGAAAATCCGTAATTGACAACATTTCAGCTGATAATGAGCACTTTGCCAGGGGTCTGCGAAAATCGAAAACCAATGGACGGGGACAAAAGTATCTGTCCGCGGAGATATAGATGGAGTTGAAATCGTATCGAGTCAAATCGAATCGAATCGGAGGGGTGGACACGTCAGCAAACCCATCAAAACCAGTGGCCAAGCCAATTGATATGATTTTCCGGAATGACATGAAATAGTTCGCAGAACGCAATTGATTGGTGTATGGCAAGCAACAGATACACTTAAATGAAAAGATAGACTTCCCAATTATATATAATTTCTTAACGCAGACCATTTATTTCCGTAGACTTTAAGGGAGCAACCTCTTGTATCTCAGAAGTTCCCTGTGTTTTGCTCGTATTTTTCTTTGCTTTTCTGACTTTTTCAAGTGTAGACAATAAGTAGTTACTGGAGAGCAGGGGCTGACCGGTTTCTAATGCGGAAGGCATGACAGCCCAGTATGCTGAGCCAGCAGCAGGTAAGCCCTGTTGGCTGTCCAGTTAGCATCGATTTCGGAGCTATGATGCCAATCGCCGACACTTGAGCTGCTGAAAATTGACATCGTTGTAGGGACAAAACTGGTACCAAAGTGGAAAGCTGGAATGGAAGCTTTAAGGCCAGAAGCACTTAAAGGATTCAGTCAGCTGTGCCGGTGATGAAACTCATTCATTTCGCTGATCCACTTTGCTAATCGCCGGCTGTCAGGCGGAGCATGTACACCGAAAACAATAATCGCAAATCAAGAGAAATCGTTGCTATCATACGCACACACTTATAACGCATTAAATGCGTCCTTGATTGATGCGACACTTGCTCGAGGGCTTCTCATTAGGTTTAGTGCCCCGTGCGAGGCGACTCGAGCACTTGTGCTCCTCCTCCTGCCCCTCGTACAGCTCTAGCCTCTAATCAATCAATCAGTGTTTATGCCACATCTTCCTCGCCGGAAAGAAGGCCCTTCGCTCTGCTCCAAGGACCAAGGACAAACGAATCGAGACGAAACGAAACCAAAATAAAAGAACTGAAGGCAGCAGAAAGTACATAATGAACAAAGCCAAAGCGAGAAAGAAACTTGGCGAAACAATTGCCTCGCTTGATGCGTCGTTTGACGAATGCCCCACGGGGTCGGATCTGAATCCAGAACCCAAATACGGAATACTATAATCGGTTCCGTGCCACTGGTTAGAGCCCCCATCTTCTTTGGCTCGCTTCAAAAAGGAAGCCGCCAGCCATTGGCCCCCAAAAATACCCTTCAATGTTTGCTTTTGTGCGGCGTTGGCGTTTTTACAACTTCCGTTTTTCGGTGAGGCAAGGCGAGTTCATCACAGGTTCCTGATTGCCAATGAAGGATTAATGCTGCTGTTGCTGCTGCTGCTGCTCCTGCTCCTGCTGGTTAGGATGGCTAGGGCCACGCTTTGATTGCAGCAGCGTTTGGCTGCAGGCTGAAACCCAACTAGGATCGAAGGAGCCGGGAGCACGACCATTTGCCAGGATACAGGCGGCGGAAGCTTTGTGTAATGGCACAAAGGATTGCAAATTGCCAAGGCACTTCCTGCAAGGACATTGATTTCTTTCCCCCTTTTTTATGCGAAGCCTGATCAAACGGTCTTCCTACTTCCTCCGCCACTTATGCATCTTCCACTCAAAGACCTGCTCCTGCCCAGTGTTGAGGTGACACGCCTCGTGCCCTCCGCCTTTCACCTACTGTTTCCGTTTCCCTTAATTATGCATGACTCACTAATGAATTTAGCCGTAATTATTTGCAGGCAACTGCGATAGCCGGCCGCCGAAGACGTGGTCATGAGAGTCCGTTGTTTCGGGTCAATATTTAATCAAAACGCCGAATGCGGTTGTCACTGTGACTGGGGCATCCTGAGGTCCAGAGCCCTAATTAGCCACTGCCCGTCTCTTTGACGCCGTGTGCGATTGTAGGCTCATCCACTCAGGCGCGAGGTGGCAACCGAAATCTGATTAGATCTGCCCGGTAAATGTGCAATTTAATCGCCTAACTGATTTCGAATGGCCTCTTAATTAGCATATGGCACTGGTTTGTAGATATCAAACAGGTATTTTGGTATAGAATATTGATATTTCTTACAACTTCAAACACGGTTTTCATCGTTCCAATAGCATATGATATAGTTGAAATTAGAAAATATAAACTAAACAGGTATTCAGACATAAAATTTAATTAATTTTCTTGTATTATTCGGATATTCACACTATATTTACCTAAATGGTTTCAATTAATCTCTTTATGAACATTTCGCACTAATAAGTTCGAATTATTGCATTTACACAAATAGAACTGTTATTTAGACTAGCATGCTGCAAGCATATGTGTTTATCATTTAATCTTATGAGTTTAATTTAATTTTCAATATAATATAAATGTTCCAGGCCCGAAGCCAAACTATTAGCCGTTAAATGCAATGGACATTCACTTAAGCTGATGCTATATTTGAGTTGCTGAAATTCGAGTTGTGTCCAATTTGTTTCCACCCGATCTCACACGAAAACTTTATCAGTCAGTTATTATTGCAGGCAAAAGCCACTCGTTGAGATGAGTTGACAATTTTAAGGCCAAATAGTTTGCCCACCCACCGAGCGGAGCGAG